GGGGGCCACTCTGATCTGAGGGTCAAACAGCAGAGGCATGGGCACAAAACGCAGACAGAGATGCCAAGCCTGTGGCCTGTTGTAGCCACTCATCGGGTCTCTGTAAGGTCCAGCGAAAGGTCAGAGTTTCCGTAAAAGCCCCCTTCAGGTCCTCAGCAGTAAGCCAGTCAGCTGTCATCATAACCCACAGAGAGATGTGTTTGAGGGCAGAGAGAGTGGGAGTGGGGCGCTGACTCCAAAGTTAGTGACCTGAGTTGACTGACAGCAGGCAAAGCGAGGCAGTTTCTTTAGGTAACAGGTTTTTCCTTGATAACAATTTCTTATTTTCTGCAAACATCTTGCTGCTGTGGTTTTATCAGGGTCTCCTGATGAGTCTGTTGAAACACACCTTGCTGTGGGGTAACAGTTTACTGCACCAGCGGTTTATTTTGTCATCCTATCACGCCAGTCCCTGGCAGTCCCAGAGAGTCCTCGGGCCCCAGACAGGTGAGGAGGGAAACTGGGACTGTGCAGAGTGTCCCCAGGAAAAAATGTGGCCATGGAGCGGAAGTGTAGCAGGGAGACCTGGACTCCTCAGGCAGGCAGAGCGAGTGTTGGTGGCAGAGCCTGGCCCTGCATAAGCTGAGACTTCTGTGGGACACACACATTTAGGGAGGAACATCGAGCCGTGCTCTGGGGACAGGAAGTGGAAAGGGCTTTGAAACTGGGGACCATGATAAGGCTTGGAGAGTTAGATCCACGTTTGCAGTGCTGTCTATACTGAAGACTGGGCACCGTGAGCCACTGCTGCTGCAGCCCACCGAAGTTCGTGGCCATCTGTCCCATGCCCCAGTAAGACAGCAGACCTAGGAGTGGCACCAGGGCACTGCCCAGGTCACCCTGGAACAGGGTGAGCACAGACACACCGGGGACCAGAGTTGGGAGAACCGTGGGCTCTTTCTCAGGCAGTGGAGTTCATTTGGGAGCCAGATACCTGTGACGGCAACCGGTCACCCACAGCTCCCCACGATCCACGGAAATGACGGCCAGCAGGCCGTGCAGGCTACATCCACAGCTTCCATACTCGCTCTGGAAATGTGTTATCTCTTGTGAAACTGCAGTTCCCATCGCCCACCTTTGCATTTACAGGTGAGCTGAACTCTTTGCCGTCACCATTACTTGGGGCAGCTGCTGTGACAGCCGCCCAGCCAGCCATTAGTCACCTTGTTTCATCTATTTAGTTACTGTTTTTCTCAGCTGGAACTTGGGAAAAGTCCAGACGGTCCATGCTTTTCCCTTTAGCTCCGGTCATGAATCAGCTCCTGCCCCCGCCGTGAAGCCTGCATTTCCTCCGCGCAGGGGACGCTGGGCCCCGGTGAGGCCCGCGGCAGACCTGTTTCTTTCATTTGCACAGCAGTGACATACAGTCCTTGTGAGCTGCTCTTCGTCCTCCTCAATTCCTCTTCAGTTTCTCCTAAATCATGACTTGGGCCAGAGCAGCTCCGGCTCTTGATAGAACATCAGAGCTGACACCCGCTTCCTCCTCCCCGCACCCTTGCTCCGCCCATGGGGACGAGGTTCCATCCATCACCTTCTTTCACTCTGGCCTACGACATGTCAGACGACCCGCGGGATTAAAGACGACATCTCCAGAATGCGAACTGCACCATGAAAGGCAAACCTGAACATCAGCGGTGTGCACTCACTGTGCTGTAGCACGTTTAGAAGAAACGCGTGCAACTCGGTCCCCCAGCTAGTTTGTCCGAGCCTCCCCCACACTGTGACCTTCCCTCTTATTTCCTTCCTCTCTTCCCTCCTTCCCCCTCCTTCCTTCCCCCCTCCCTCCCTCTCTCCCTCCCTCTCTCCCTTCCTTCCTTCCTTCTTTCTTTTCCTTCCTTCCAGCAGGCCGAAGGTCGCCTCTTCTGAGATCAGCTTGGGCTTGGCGTGACCTGTTACTACACCCCGTTGTCCCTCTGGACCCCAAGCTGCCCTCAGAGGGTGAGGACCCTGTGGTCACAGTTTGCAGACCTCTCCAACCCCGCTTCCCCAGGTCCTGCGGCTGTTCAGCCCCTACTCCTCTCTCACACCTGCATTCCCATCAGTCCAGCTTCCCTGTAATCCCACACCCTCGCCCCCAAGGGCTCCGAGCAAACCTGTCTCTGCTGCCCTCTCATCCCCGGTCTCCGAGAGGGTCACTGTGCTCAGCACGAGTCACACATGTCACACACGTGATGGTTTGGGGCCTGGTTCTGACAGTGTCTGCTCTGAGAAAGCCGAGAAAGGGAAAACAGAAAGAGGGAGGAGGAAGGGAAGAAGGGAAAGAAGAAAGGGGGAAGGAGAAGAAAAAGACCAAAGAAGAAAAGGAGGCCGGGAGGGAAGGAAGGAGAGAAGGAAGCGGGGAGGACCTAGTTCAAAGGAACACAGCAAACGGAAGCACTGCTGCTTTCAGTCCATCCGCTCTATCCGACGATGACATTCCTGAAGCCGAGACACTAGACTTCTTTCTGAGTCACAAAACTTGCGCAGCCAAACTCCCGCCGTCTACAGCATGTGTGAGGCGGCGCTTTAGCGCCCCCTGGAGGCACAGGTGAGCGTAGCCTGCTCCAGACCGCGGGAATGAGCCCCGCGCGCAACTGGGACAGGAAGGCTTGGCCTTGCCTTCGCGGAGCAGGGACCAGGGCCGGTCAGGGCACAGGACTGCAGGGAACAGAGATGCTCTTCATCTCGCCGTGGTCTCTCTTCGCACCTCTCTTCGATTGGAAAAGGAGCACACACAGACTGCTGCAGGAGCTGACACAAGTCCCGTGATCCGTGAACACACGCGTGTGCACCACCACTGGCGGAACAGGAGCAGCCCATGTGCGTATAGTCTGGGGAAACTCCAGACATAGCACGTGCTTACGGTGATCTTCCTAAATAGTGCGGAGAGTAGCATGTACCCCTTTTCTCCAGGGAAGACTGAAATTCAGAAAAACGTACTGGTTTGGCCGAAGTCCAATTCCTAGCAAGCTGAGACTCCAAAGACACCGCCCCCCCACACCAAATCCTGGTTCCCAGGGACAGAGGCTTCATGTCCTCATGACTCTTCTGAGCAGATCTCTGGGAATGCCAGGAAGAAGAATTAAAACTGTCTCTCCTGGGAGTAGCTGGAACGTCGCAAATGAGAATCCAAGATGGCCCTGTGCTGGGTGGGGGCGGAGCTTGGGTCCGGCAGGACAGTGCCTTTGCACCAGGCTACCTACTCATGAACTCTCCGTCCTTGTGACACATGGGGACAGTTGCTGTAAACTAATGAGTAGGATTCCTCCACCACAGCCTGTAGCTCTCATTCTGCCAAATCAGCTGAATGCCCGAGCACTTGACTTGCTGTGCACATGGCCTCCCTGTAGGAGGGGATTTCAGCCCTCTGTGGTCCATCTCCTCTCCCACCACGTGGTGTCAGTCTCCTCTTGGCCTGCACTTCTGAGTCTGCCTCAGACTCTGGGTGCTGCAAAGAATCTCACAGATACCCTCTGCAGGGTCCAGGAAGTGAGGTGTCCCAACCCTGGTACAGTTGGTAAACCCGGCCCTTCCCTGAAACTGCATCAGCGCAACCGGGCTTACAGGACCCAGTGTACAGCACCAGCACCTGGCCCCGGGGACTACTCCAGCAGGGCAGCCCGAGACCGTGCTCAAAAAGAGGGAACCAGGCCTTGCTCTGGCTTGCGCAGCACAAGTGTGACTCTCCATGACGCTTGGGAAAGCCAGCTTCCCAGGCCACCAGCTCTGCCCCAACTCCAGACCATGGCCCAGTGGAACTGCGCCCCCTGCTGGCCAGAGACAGAACCTTCCTCTGCCTGGGACCCACCCCCGGCTCCTGCTTTAAAGGACTGCCTGGAAAGCCTCTACGCTGCCCCAGTTTAGGGGCCCCTGTGACCCGGCATTCCCCACCCAGTCGCTGACACAGCTCCCTGGCTTCCCCAGCCTCAGGCCCAACCAATCCTGCAGTGCAAGTATTTGGGGGAAAATGTGTCTGTGCTGACCACAGACATTTCCCTTGGCATTATTTCCTGAATCATATGACTATTTACACAGCCTTCCTTTGCACTAGGTGTTCGGAGTAAACTGGTGGGGATTGTCTGTACACTGGATGCTGTGTGTAGTTGTATGAAAACTCACATCGTTTTGTACCAGATGTGAGCATCGGAGGAGCGTGGCATGCGGTCTCCAGTGGACAAGGGCAGATTACGGGATTTACTTTTAGCAAACATCATGTCTCCCTCACTGGGCTACAAACCTGTGCACTGCACCCAGAAACACACAGCCTTCACTGATCTGCATGAACAGATGGCCAGGTGCCACCACCTGTGTAACCAACCCAACACCACAGCGCTGCCCCACACCACCAGAGCCTGGTGCCCCAGGGGATCCTGAAGTCAGTGGTGGCCCCTGCCCCTCCATGACCCCCGACACTGCTCTCCTTGGCTGGTGTTGATATGCGTCCTCTTGCTAAACACTGCCTGCTGTGAGACCTGTCACCTGAGGCTGGTGGCCTTGGGGACTGAGTCAGTGCATAGCTCATAGGATTGAGCCTCCCCGCTGTCCTTAGGGGTGTTAGTGTGGATAGTCCTGGTCCTCGCCCACTCCATCTACAGAGGCTGCATTCAAAAGGTGTCCTGCATAAGGCGGTAACAGAAAAGGCAGTCACAGTGCACGAGGTCTGAAGATGGGGCCTGAGGGTTTCCTGAGCAAAAGTTGGCAGGAACCAGGATGGAGCTGGCTGGACAGGTCTCGGGCTCACCCTAACCCCAGGTTCGGGACCCTCAAGAGTCTCCTCCAAGCCTCTGCATGTCTCTACAGTCTGCAAAAATATCTTGGAAAGGGAACATGGCAGCCCTTCCCTGCCGCCTCAGTTCTCTCATTAAGTTCATCTCCCACGTTTACATGCTGCTCAGCCAGCAGCGGCGGACACACTGCCACCGCGGCAGGGACGGATGGCTTCCAGGGTCAGGTGAGCAACAACTATCAGTGGAGAGAACTTATGCAGCATCGAAGATGTGTTTTATTGAACAGTAATAAACAGGACACCACAGACTTGGATTATGCAAAGTATCAATGTATGGTAGAATCATTTGCTAATGTAACCAGCAGATCATGGGTGAACCTTTCACTCTACAGAGTGAACATGGGACAGTTCACACCCCAAAAACTGCGCATGTGATGCTGGGAGCAGAAGCCAGGGTCCTGTGTGTGGCGGACAAGCACTTGGTCAGAGCCACATCCAGCCACATCCTGCAAGCTCTGTAAAGCAGCATCACTCCACACACGCTGTGAATCACGGGACTGTTTGCTGCTAACTCTGGCCTGCGAGATTTTCCCAACATGAGGACAAAATACGAAGACAGCTGCTAACAGTGCAACTTTGCCTGGAATATGAACTTTACTAGAAAGTTTAAAAAATAAAGTTTATTTTTGTGAAAACAAAACATAGCACACACAAAGTACTTTTGTATTTATGGTTTTGCATCTAGAAAAATCAGAGGGCTCAGTCAACATATTCTCTTTTGCGCAGCCCTGACTTTACAGCTTCTTTCTATTTTAAAATTTTACCCCAAAGCCAAGTCAGTCTGGCCCATGACTGTCTGAGGCCTTGCCTTGAAAGACCTGGTCACTAAACTGAGAAGTGTGTGCACGTTCTTCCAGCCCTGCTTCCAGGGTCTCTCGAGGCTGGTGACCTCCGTGGGGAACCAGGGGCCTTCCTCCAAGCACAAGCAAAGTGTCACCCACCTTGCCAGAAGTGCCCTGGAGAGAAATCCTGTCCTTGGCTGACAACCCTGCCATAGACCCCAAGTCACACTAGGACAGGAAGTTGCAGTTTCCCATGTCACTCTCGAATGGAACCCCATAACCAGTGCTGGCTCCATGAACGACATGATCTGCCCCAAGAAGTGGGGTGTGCAGGGCTCCAGAAGGACTCAAATCCACTCAAGGTAGGTCCAGGACCAGAGAGGGTTCAGCACTGGGTTTAAGGAACAACTTCAGTGCGTGTTTTCTCCCTGCAGATGTCAAAGTCAAAAAACCTCCTATGACCCAGTCAGCTTGGCCCAAGCACACTTTGGTGCTGGAAACCACCACAGCGGAGGGAGAAACAATGCAGGATCCGGAGCACTTGCTGGGTGTCACTCTTCCTTCCTCCTCCTCCTCCTCTCTTTTCTCGTCTCTTGTACCTTCTTCAGCTCAGTCATCAGGTTCAAAGTCTTGCGCACCCACATAATCTAGAAACGATCACATTGAGACACATTATAACTGACACACCAGCAGAGGAAACCGAAAGGCAGATGCCTGCCCCCGCCCCCAGCACATACCACAATGATCACCGCGTTGAGAAGCAGTGGTGCCGAGAACACTACGGAAATGAACATCCCCCTGGAGTCGAAGTACTGGTATTTGGAAAATGACCTGTTTTAAGACAAAAACAAAAATTTCTTGGCCTAATGGTGTCCTCCAGCACCAAGAGATGGAGGAACGGTAGGCAGCAGGGGACACTAAGGTGCACGTCACCCACATGAGCTCTCAGGGCAACACTCCTCATGGAAGGTGGGGTTACAGCCACCCCTATGCTCTGCAGCTATGCACAAAAAGCAGTGTCGGGCTCTCATGAAGGAGGTGTTACTCTAGAGTAAGCACTCAGGCTATATGCCGAAGGTTAAAGGACCCTGGCTCACCCACAGGAAGAGCAGGCCATGGCAGACAGGAGCTGTCCGCAGAGGTCACTCCCGAATAGCAAACATGAATAAGTCAGCAACACCGGGAACGTGCCATGTGCCAGTCACAAGCCCTGGGCTCTACAGTGGACAAGAGGGCCACTGGGCTGCAGCCTCCTCTCCAGGGAAAAGAGGAGCTCAAGGACCTGCTCACCCATCCATCAAAACCCACGTGCTTTCACAAGTGTCTCGGAGATTTTGCAGGACTGTGACTCTGATGAGAACCCCAAGGAGGGCACCAGGGAGCCACACAGTCTAGAGGTGACAGCAGGGCTGAGATGAGAAGGGCTCAGAGGCCAGGCCCCCAGGCCACCAGCACTGCTGGGCAACTATGCTTCGCTGGAGTGTGATAAGCGGCAAGCGCCCTGCACTGAGACCACTGCCCAGACAAGGTGACCATAAGACTAGGGGGAGGGGAATCGGGGGTGACCTAGAAAGCTGACGTTACCTCCAGTTCATGGCAGCCACTTCATTGATGTATTCAGCACAGTAGACTAAGGCCGCTGAGAGAAGACAGACCACACGTTAAGAGTTTCGATGGCAAATCGGTATTCCTTACAGAATAAACATGTCCATTCTTTACAACAGAATATTAAATGCTAATACAACAGAATACCAAAAGCTTGATGAGATGTAATTTGCATTTCAGCTATAATGTGAAGTAAGAATTATAAAACTGTAAATTACAGAAAATGCCCATTTAACAGAAAGCAGGCAAAACATGTCTGAGGTCTCAGCGGTCCCAGGGAGAACCACATGAGGCTGTTGGACACAGCCACAGTTCCTCCCAGTGGCCTGACACAGGCCAGCCCACTGGATGCCATGGAGCAGAACTGCCCTAGGACGAGCCAAGGGACTAGTGCCACTGTTCCAGCTCACTGGCAGGATGTTACTGAGCCCTACAGAGGATGTGAGATGGGAAATCACTGGGCATGGGAAGCAAAAGACAAAAGTCAAAGCTGCAGGCAATGGCAGCCCACAGGGACTGCTAGCAAAGGGTTGCAAGGTCTCCTTGGCTGCAGGGCACGTGCTAGACCTCCAGCCAATTCAAAGGGGAAGCCAATTTCACATGTGGGAGAAATCACCACCTCTGCTAGATGCAACTGAAGAAAAGGCACACAGCAAATGTAAAAACCTGGTGCTCTAATTTCTAGTACTAACTGGTCAGTAATGTCAAAACGTACCAACCTTCTGAATGTCCTTGGTCCCAACAGTCTCCTGACCACACTACACAGTGGACCCAGCGAGGCTGGACCAGCAGAAAAGGAGGAAGCAGGACTGAGCGAGGGCGAGGAGAGGCCACTGTACACTGAGGAGCACCATGGGACAGCAGGACGGACCCACGGTGCCGCTTACTATTATGTACTATGCTACAGGGCGAGGCTCTGCGGGCCTTGGCCAGTCTCCCTTGTAAAAACAGGCACACGACAAGACCTTGCAATGCTTTGAGAATTTAATGAGTCAGGACACATGAAAAACATGCAGAATAGGGTCTATTTTTTGCAGTGCTGACCACAGCCTTCCCTCTTGGAAATCACAAATGCACACACAGCTTTATGTTTGAGGAATTGCTCCGCTGTCTCTGCTCATCTGATGAGGCTACGTCTTTCTCCAAGGTGTTCACATCTGTGATGGCTTACTGCACGCAGAGGCCCACTAAGCAAAGGGGCCTGTTTTGCCACCTGCTGAACCCCCTGCCTTCCTTAGGAAAGGACCTGATACAGACTCTCATGGGAAGGAGAGGATATGACAAGTCCATCCACCCCTTGTCTGCCCAGAACCGTTTCTGTGATACACACACTCAACTTCACTCTTCTTCCCAAGGTCACACCTTGTCCACATTTCTTACTGGGCACACAGCCAGCCAAGTGCATCTGAAATGAATGGGCGCCTTTTTATTACCAAACCTCTTTGCTCTCTTTTCACTGCCTTCATGATCAAGAGGCCAAGCTCTCATCAGCCAGCACATGTGTAACATCTGGAGCCCACAAGCTGTGATTCCCCTGGGCTCTGATCCAAGCTCCCCAGCATTTCTGAGCCCTCCCACGAGGGGAGGGGCTGTGACCCTCAAGTGAAGCTGCACCTTCTCCTTGACCTCACACCCAGGCCACTGAGCTCTTATCTTTTCTTACTGCCATTTTGCCCAGTCTTTCACCCAAGACCATGGCTTTGTTTTTTTCCATACAATCTTTCTCAGTCATGGCATGAAGCTCCATCCCTTCTCTGAATTCCTGTAGGCCTTATCTTTAAACCCGACCGGGGCAATATCTTATTTTATGCATAGATCCTTTCTTCCTACTTTTCCTTCTTCCGCTTACAGCAGGCTGTACAGGATTGAGCCCAAGCAAGCAAACATCTGTGTAAAGACAATGTTTCTCCAAACCAAAGACTTCTTCGAACAACTGGTGTTCAGCACCAGTCCTATCACAGAGGAGGCATCCCATCCATGTCTTTCAAGTCTGATATCCTGACATTATTGTTTACACACAGAACACCTGATGGCAGAGGCGGGAAGGGCTGTGAAAATAACTTGCATACCCTGAAGACGCAGAATATAGAGATACACACAGACACACACACACACACACACACACACACATTCGGAGGACAAAGAATACAGTCACCAGACCATCATGGTGCAGAGGTCCCGTGCTGTTCGACTCACCTAGGCTCAGGAAGAGACCGATCTGTAGTCCGTACCTCTGGGCTGAGAAGCAGGTGAGCAGCAGACAGAGCACGTGGAAGACAACCAGCCCCAAGAGCCATGGCTCGGTCCAGTCTGTTTGCTGTGAGGACAAGCCATTAGGCACCCCGTCCTTGGGAGGCTGCGGCCCCTCATTAACTCACAGGAACAAGGCACCCAGAGAACACAGCCAGCCTGCCCAGAAATGTGGGGCAGGAAAACGAGAAGGGAGGAAAACCTCCTCCACTGAATGCCCATTCAGAGGTGTTTAATGACTCTTTAGTTTGAGCACACAGAACAGAGAACATCACCAATTCACCCCTTCTGATCGAACAGAACCATGTCTTCAGACTGGGTGAGATCTAGTTTACCATCCCCTCCATTACCACCCCCTAGGGGCTGGGGATTTAGCTCAGCGGCACAGCGCCTGCCTGGCAAGCGCAAGGTCGTGAGTTCGATTCCCGGTACCGGAAAAAAACAAAAACGAGCAAAAAAAAACACCCCCCACATGACAGGAAGGTAAGTGACTTGTTCAAGTTGATGCACTCTGTTAGTCCCCAGGTTAAAACCAGGACCCTGTGAAGTTCCTTAGCGTGGAGGCGTGGGTCACAGGAGCGCTCCTAACCCGCAGGCTTTGATTTCGCAGCCTTCCCAACGGTGCCCAGCCCTGCAGGCAGCGCGGTGGGCAGGTCTCCCGGCCTCCCAGAGGGCACGAGCGGCACTGCAGGCCCAGATCCTCCCACGGGACGCTCAGCCGCACTCGGGACGCTCAACCCCGGGACAACATTCCCTGAGTCGCTCCCGCAAGAGGCAAGATCGGCCCAAACTGGGACCCTGGGGCCCTTCGGGACTCTCGATGCCCGGTTCTCTCAGCCAAAGGCAGCCCCCGCCTGCTGTGTACCGGAGCCCTCCCGCGAGGCACCGGACAACGCGCCGGCCGGCAGCCCCGCCCCTGCCGCTCGGACAAGCCCCGCCCCCTCGCCCCGCCCGGCCCCGCCCCACCGCTCCTCCCCACGCACCCACGTCCCGCAGCGGTCTACGCCACAGGAGGGAGAACCCCCGGTTTCCCTTTCGGAGGCCGTGAATTACCATGATCACCGCAGGGATGCTGACAGGGAAGGAGCTGACGGAAAACGCGGAAGGCATGGCGTCCTGGAAGCCAGCCCTCCCAACCGCCGCCGAGTCCTTCCGCCCAGCTCCGCAGGAAGTGCTCTGGTTCTCATCTCGCGAGGTCAGTGAGGGAGAACCGATTGGCAGCATTAGATCGTCTCGCGATAATCTTCCTCCTTTTTTTTTTTTTTTTTTTTAAAGGTCAAATCTCGCGTTAGTATGTGAGTTACATAGCTATAACTGAGGCAAACGCTTGGACTTTGTTTCCCGGCTTGTCCAGAGGGGTAGTTGGGCTACGGGGGATGGGAGACGATCCACACGCCGCGGGCCGGCGGGACCTACATCTGCTTTTGGAAAACTCACAACTCTGGCGTCTCACGGATGGATTTCCCGCGGTGTTTGCTGTTCTGGAGCCTCCGCCACCAGCGTGGGGTCAGCGCAGCTGCAGCCGCCGCGCGGCCGCGTCCCACACCTGCGAGGACAGCTTCTGCGTGGGACACCGGCCGGTGCCGCTCTGGACCCGGCCCTCCTTCCCTCTCCGGGAAGGTGGCCTTTTTGTTTCCTGTCCGAGTCTTTCCACGTTTGTTTTGCTCTTGAAATTATTGGTTTTATTTGTAACGGTTCGTTTTTAATTGCAAGGCTCCAAGGTCCTGCGTCCCCTCACGGCGCCGTGCGTCCACTCATTATGACCTCTCCCAGCCTTACCCAAGGAAAGGAGTGAGAAGTGAAGAAAGCAAGACTTCCCTGGCCCTCACTGCAGAACTGCCCTGTGTGGCTGATCCCCCTTGCCTGCTCGTACAGGGGGCACCGCCGGGGCCTACCCAGCAAGGAGCGTTGGGGAGCGCGGTTCCCACCGTTGCTGAGCGCTTGGTAGTTTGTATGCAGCATCTGGATGGAAATAGCAATCAGCAAGGCTGATCTGTTGGCAGTTCCAGGCCTTAACTGCAGGTGGCTCTCTGCCTACGGTTTAAGGGCGCTGGAGCTGCGATACACTCAGTCCTGGACCAGATAGCGCTGGGACTTGCGGTGTCCTTGGCCCTCTCCGAGCCTTCGGCCCTTCGTGTTACAGTTCTGGGGCCCAGAGAGCCCTCTGGGCTTTGTGTTGCAGCTCTGGGGCTTGGAGAGCCGGCATCATAGCTGGAGGCTGTCAGTGTTCTCAGCCATTAATGTTACGGCCCTCAGGCCTGGAGAGATCTCAGCTTTCCGCATTACTGCTTGAGGCTTCAAGTCCCGTCACACCTCTGTGTTACAGTTTTGGTGTGTTACACGCTTAGCGCTTGGCGTGTCCTCCACCCTCAGCTTTACACCTCAGGGATCCAAGTGCTCTTGTCCCTCAGCATTATAGTTCAGGGCTTTGAGTGCTCAGCCCTTAGTGTTCGGGTTCGGGGACCCCAGTGCCCACAGCCCTTAGCGTTGCAGCTGTAGAGCTTGGAGTATCCTCTTCTGAGCACTGTGGCTTAGGGTTGAATGTCCGTGTGCATCTCTTGACTGTTGATTTAACTCCGGGGCTGTGATTCCTCAAGGCCTTCAGCCCTTGATGTTACAGCTCTTGAGGCCTGTTTGGCCCTCAGTATTATACCTCAAGGGTCCAAGTGGCCACAACCTTGGATTCTTAGTGTTATCTGGTAATCACTGGTCCACAGTCCTGGTCTGTATCACTAATCCCTTCCAGATAAGGACGCTGTGAACAAGAATCCTTGTAGACTGGAATAGTGGAAGAAGAATGCTGCTCATATACCAACAGCAGGTCTGTGATTGGTCCAATTTCACGTTTGCTGGTTGATTCAAATTTATGCCTGCGGATCCAAGCCCCTTGACTGGCCTAAATTCAATTTGCTGTTTGATTCAAATTCCAGCCTGCTGCAGTTGGAGCAGACATCTACCTGGAGCAGGTACAGGTCTCTGGGACAGCCATAGTAGTCAGGGACAAATGATTGACATGTCAGTGAGGGATGATTGACAGCTGCTACATGTAGGAGAAAATGGCTAGGCTAAAATAAGGACTGACTGGATCAAACTGCTAATAAACCAGGGCAGATTCCATACTTCACAGAAGCCAAATAATGAAAGTTCATACTTTATTTTATTTATTTATTTTATTTATTTATTTTGCAATACCAGGGATCAAACTCAGGACCTTGCGCTTGCCAGGCAGGCGTTTATGCCACTGAGATATATCCCCAGCCTGAAAGTTCATATTTTAAAATTCCAGGGTTAAGAGAACATTGGATTTTCTGTCCCTTTAAATTCACCCTTGGATGATTATGTCCTTTCACAGGCGTCCAAGGCCACCCCCTCTGATGGTCATCCCTGCAGTAGGTGGTCTCCAAGGGTGAGCGCTGTGGGTGGAGCCTATGAGGTTGTTGATCTACCCACCCTTCATCCACCAGTGCCGTGTGGGGTGTTTTCACTCAGTGGAGTGGACCCCAGGTGTGAGCCACACAGAGGAGGGAAAGTGGCTTCTGGTGTGGAGCTGTGGGCTGGCGTATGGCACAAATTGGCATTCTGGTTATCTCCCTGTGGTCTCAGTGCCCACCAAGCCTAAGGAGTAAGGGAAGGTGGGTGCACTAGGCCCATGGGGTCTGTGGCCTAGGAAAGCCAGTGGGCACCATGGCCTACTCACAGCTTATTTATTACAAACTCAGCACCCGCAAGGACCAGGCTTCTGCAGCTGAGTGAGGAACTGGCCATATTTAGCTCCAAGCAAAAATCAGGTGAAATAAAAAAGCTTCCCTGTGCAAAGTCCGGGGAAAATAACAGACACATGGTTCTTCCTGCAGAATAGCTTGACTCTTGACAGTCCCCAGAAGCTCCCAGAGGGTGGTGCTGTTGGACAACGGATGCTGGCGTCGGCTGGGACACATAGAAATGGGCAAACTCAAAATTACATCTCTGGTGAGCTAGCTCAGGGGTGACTGCAAGTTCCTGTGTTCATACAGTGGGATTGTGCGACACATGTACATTGTGTGGCCAGCAGGTGGCGCTGTCTCATCAGTTCGGCCAGGGTCACCAATGAATGGAGGAGACTTGAGAAGGAAGCGGCCTTCATCCACATGGCAAAGGCAACCGCAGCATCTCATTTACTGGTGACAGAAAATAGCATTGTTTCCACAGTGGGGCACCATAGCTCCACCAGGTCTTCCGGACTTTCATCTGTGGAGAACGTAAGCCACTGCTTCTCCCTGGTCAGAAACCTTGGGAGGTTTTGGTGCTTGCCTCACACCACTCAGTCATCCCATGACAGCCAGGAAGGGACAACAGATGTAGTGGAGGTGAGCTATTCGGAAAGGCCAAGGAGTCACCAGCTTCCTAGAACTTGCCCAAGCATTGGCAAAGCTGTTCCAAAGCTGTCATCGGCCAAGACTAGAGGCTATTTCAAATGTAATGAAAAATTTAAATCTTACGTTTCTGACCCTAGTGTATTTCTAACACTGTTCAAGGATGAGACTGGAAAGCACAGTCGGTTCTCGTAATTAGAGAGCTACAAAACCTAACGAGCCTTGACACTCCCGGAGCCAGCTTCGAGATAAGTGCAGCTTAGCCAGACGGTGTTTTGCTCACTTTCAAGTCCCAGAGAGTTACCACCTCCAGGACCCCTCTGCCCAGTCTCAGACAATCATTGATTCTTTTCCCCACGTTATATGATAGCGACCTTATTAGTTCCTGTAGGAGTAAATTCTGCCCAGCAACGAATTAAAGACATGTAACCAACGATAAAATGTTATTATCTGCCTTTTTGTACTTCCTCCTGAAAACCTGTATACGTGATTGGTAACCGCAAAATGGTGCTGATGATTTGGAACAGATTCCCATCAGCCCACTAGTGTAATAAAGCTAAAAGTCTTCCAAAGTTCCTTGGTGCCATGTCTTCCCTCTGGCCTGATCCTAAGTTCCACAGCAGGATCAGTGTGCCACTAAAGTCTCTGTTGGTCATAGCCCGTGTTTCACTACTATCATGAAACACCTGAAACTGGGCACTCATTTTAACAAGATTAATTTTGGCTGACAATTCTAGGCTGAGGTGCATCTGGCCATTTTGTTGGCAGAGATGGTCTAGGCCATCACATGGTGACAGACCAGCATGCGGTATATCTCTGCATTTCCAAGTCTCTCGCTCACTGGCTCGCACTTCTTATGAAGCCACCAAGTCCAGGCTGTGCCCTGGTGACCTAATAATCCTCACAGTCAGATGATGTTTCCACCCTCTGCACCTTCATCCATGCCTGGGGATTCATAGAAACTTGGGGAGACACTCAAGCCACCTCCAAACTCAAGGACACCCAAGTATCTGTCTGCAGGAGCCAAAGGACGAGTACAGAAAGGATGGTGTCACCTGTTAAGGCCATCAGATGTCACATCAGGGATGGTCACCATGATGACCATGACACTTGGTTATTCTGGGACTCTGTTTTTCTTGGATTTTTTTTGAGACAGGGTCTCACTACGGAACCCAGACTGGCCTTAAACTCCAAATGTAGCCCAGGCTGGCCTCCAGTTCACAGTGATCCTCCTGCCTCAGCCTCCTGAGTACTGGAATTACAGGCATGAGCCACCACACCTGTATTGGGACTCTTGTAAGATGGTTCTTGTGACCTAGTTAACTGCCTGGAAGGCAAATGTGCCACACACACAAGACCAGGGTACCCAGGAGCTGACAGTACTGCCACACACACGAGCCCTTGTACTGGTCTACAACTCCAGCCCTTTCTAAAAATTTGCAGTGCTGTACCTCGAGGTCCCCACTTCCCGACAGATTTTGCATCCCGGCTTGGCAGGGACGTTTACATCTTCAGCGACTGGCAGCGTGGATTCTGTAGCAAAGTGTGTTCTGTGGAAAAGCACACATCTAGGTACTGCCATCACTGGTCTTGCTAAGTCGCTAAATTGTAGGACTCCAACTTGTGACCCTCCTGTCTCAGGCTCCCCAAATGCTGAGATTACAGCGTGCACCACCCAGCCTGGCTGTAAATACATTTTAAATGCAAACTCCGAGGAGGAACATGTCTGGAAATGTTTACAAGAAAGGGCGAGATGAGTGTGAGGCCATGGCGTTTATTCATGCGTGCTCTAGAGTAAGCAGAACATGATACTACATGTCTCTGATTTGGAAGCCGGTCTCTGGAGACATGTGACACAGACTGTTTAGCAGTGTCTGGAGTCTGTGGCCGCTGGTCCTAATCAGGTGACTCAGCAGGGTGTCAGTCCCGCCCTGCCCCCTTGTCCCTCTCCCCCTGTGCTGCAAAACTCAGGACAAATGCAGCGATGTCCAGCTTCACTTCCACGGAGCCTCAGACTTCACACAAGACAGAGTCGCCTGACACAGGAGTCACTACCCCAAAGGCCGTTGAGATTTGCCATCCTCTGCCACCTTGCTGAGGAGAAGGTTGCAGACTCCGGACATGGAGTCTGCAAGGCCATGCATGAGGACCCTTGGCAAGACCGGGATTCCAAGCAGAGCTCAGCTACATACAGAGAGGGATCTGTGAGCCATAGGCCGGTTCCTGTGGGAGAGAAGGTGGGGTGAGCCCAGTGCCTGCCATTTTGATCAGCCTCAGGAGTGGACCTGTGGGAGGGGTCTGGGTCACTAGGCTGCGTCCTGGGGGATGGTAGGACCCTGGCTTCTTCTCCTTCCTTCCCCACCCCATCTCTAGGTGAGCAGCTCGTTTTGTGGCTGGTTTGAAGAAATGAGTTATTTTCATCACATTCTGTCTGCTTCAATGATGCTAATTTTTCTGAATGTTTTTTTAAAGTGGGTTCAAGTTTTGACAAATGATCATTCCCTTATAAATACAATTTGTACCAGGGAAAATGGACAGAAGGAAGGTGCAGGATTAAACAGGGATCGTGTCCCAAACAGCAGCGCCTGTGTGCAGTTGCAAGAACAGCTGGACATTTTTAGTGACACCTTAGATCATAGTGAGAAATGGTTTTGTATGTTGTCACCTAAATGAAATGCAGGGGACCCACCTGCTCCAGGTCCAGAGCTGCAGCGCTGTACATGGAGGTCCCCACTTCCCAACAGATTTTGCATCCCTGCTGGGCAGGGACTTCTGCATCTCCCTCAGTGACTGGCAGTGTGGATTCTGTAGCGGAGTGTGTCCTGTGGAAAAGCACACATCTAAGTACTGCCATCACTGGCGCTAGAGGAACCCACAGTCTTGTCCTTGCTGTAGTGGAAACGGGGTGCTTCCTCTTAGGTTGAAGTCCTGGCAGCCACTCAGGGTCTAGGGGCATCTCTCCCTCCAGGACCTCCCTCAGATCCCACCCTTGCAATGTGTGGCACCTGCAGGCCAGTGGGTATCGGGACTGTGGCTTTGGTCACGGCCAGATGACCATAGCGTCCTGAGGAGGCAGAGGGGCTCAGAACTAGAAAGCCTGTGGCAACATGTGACAGTGCTGCCCTGGTTCCTGCTTTTAATTATTGAAGAAATGCAAACATCAACTCACAGTGACAGCCAAGAAACATGGAATCCTAGAATGCAAGCTTGCTCCTTAAACTCGCTTTATCGACTTCTGCAGAGAGACTTTTGTCAAACTACCCTCACTGATCTGCACTGCTTCTGCTCTTTGTAGCTGATGACCTCACCTGCAGCTGTGCCCCATCTGGCTATGCGAGTGGCCGCGTCTGTCACCTTCCAGGAGGAGGTCATCTTGTGTTCCCATCTACATGTGATGCAAGATCACAGCCTTGTCTTTGCCTGTAACACTTTTTCTCCTGTGGGAAATGTGTCTTGGTGTACATTCCCAGAAAGTGGAAGTCAAAGGGCACTGGCAGTGTCAGGGCCAGCTCTGCCTTCCCAGCAGAGGCTGACTCGGGAGCCATCTGCTGCCAGACCTCACCAGGCCTCCTGCCTCCGCACCGTGGTTACTGCCCTTCCTGGAGCTGCTGTGCTTTTTAATCTCACACAGCTAAATCATATCTGAGGATTGATTCAGTGTAGTTTTCTTTGGTTACTGACAAGCATGAAGTCCTGACCTCAATTTAGGGCTGAGATTAAACACTGCTTTAAAATAGATCAGCCCCAACGTGCTTCACGTGTTTAATAACAAAGTGGCACCTACACATTCCTAGCAGCAGATCTTATTACTCTTATTGCTTACCAAGCTCTAAGATCTTTTTTATATCTGCTCAGGTTTTTTATTTTTATTTACAATAGCTGATGCAGAGACTTTTTTCACTGAACCTGTGAAAGCCAAAAAGTCATACCCAGGGCATCCAGAAGCCAATGCAATATCTTCCACCAGTATCATCAGTTTGGGCTAACAATCCCCACCAGGTTCTACATCCTTACTTAATTATAAGCTTTACATTAATAATTAAGTTATTAAATAATCAAAGAACTACACTAACCCTGCTTTATAAACATATTTATAAAGGTGCTGCCCAACCAGAGAGCTGGCTGCAAGAAGTGTTACCAGGTAATAATAGTTTCTAAGCAGCAAAGAGATTGAAACATTTATTTTTGAATACGTAACTTTAGCCTAAAAAGGGGGGTGGGTTTTTATGCTTAGGGATACACTACAGACTTAGGTAAAATAAATTGCATATATAAACCAACCCAATTCTGCTAAAGCTATTATCATGCAGAAATGTGTTTCAGGACAGATGACTTAAATCCTATTCATTAAGGAACATCCCAAATACTGGTCATCTCCACATGACAGGTCGCAAAGCTATTTCAGCATCTTATTGTTTATGTGTGATTTCTCTGGTTCAATTCTCTGTTTTCTTAAAAGGTGAGTTTTTTCCTTAGTAAGTGGGTCCTCTGTGGATACTGTGGCGTCATGGTCTTCCTCAAGAGTGAACCTTCTTATTAGCTGAGGCAGCCGAGTCAGTCAGGACTGTGTAAGCTTGTGTTGCTAGGCAACATGAACCTTTACCGAGCACTTACTCTCTACGAGGCACACGAAATGCTTTACGTGTGAGCATGTTACCTGTGATCCTTAAAGCACCCATGCAAGGTAGACATGACAGTGCTTTATTCATGGAATCAGAGACTCAGAGAGATCAGGGGGCCTGGCCAGCAGAAGCAGGGCAAACAGTAGGTAGGGAAACCCTGGCTCTTTGACCTCACAGAGGCATCAGCACCAGCTTCCTCCCTATGACCCCTCAGTGCTGTGCAAACACACACAACTTGGTTAGGAGACAAATCTGAGCCCTGTGCAGAAGTTGCCGCCTGCTGGGTGTTTAATGAGATTTTGCATCCCGTAATTCAACACTCCGTTCTATTGTTATCACCTCTCCGTGTGATTGGTGGAAATAACAGCTAAGGTTGTGTTATTAACTGTGCCTGATTTTACTTTTTCAAAGACACTAACAAACGGAGACATGGCGGACTTTTCACAACGTGTCTAATAAGTAAGGACAACTACGTTTAACAAACACGACCTGATCTTTGTAGGAGTATATGTTCTCTGAAAAAGCAGTTTGACAAAAGGAAGTATACAGACTCAAATTTTCAGGGGAAAAAAGGAAACCACAAAGAATTTTTCCTTGATAGAGCGTTACAATGGTGAGCTCGCTCTTTTTCCCTTCTTTCTTCTGCAGCATGTCCATGAATACTGTCCATAAAGAATACATGATAGTGTGTGAGTATCTTCCAGAGTTGTAAATACTCCTCTCCCTTTGACCTACCTATTCTCCACAGGGAGAGGTGCATCGCGACGGGGTTGTTGGGTGGAGGTGTATTTTGCATGAAAACAGAACCAAAGCCCCGCACTGCACCCAGGGTGTGGCTCTGAGACCAGGAGCTCCGTGGGCCCAGCTTGGGTCCACTGTCAAAACACTGAGTAGCCTTGGTTCTGAGATGGGGGAGTGTCTAATGGGGTTCATTTCTAGGCACACTGCACCCTGCTCCCCACTGGTATAACGAACATGGCAGAGTAGACTTCTCATTAACAGTAAGTCAGGACAGAAGGGCTGCCTGGGGTACTGGAGGGAAGCCATTTGGTTCTCATGGATTTGCTGCACATCGTGGAAAGTACCCATTATCATTTGAGTTTACAGTGCACATTGCCAGTAGGAATAATTGATCCAGAATACAACTCAGAACAGCAGAAGGGCATGCTGCATAGAGAATGACAAAATCACATTTCACGGGCTCCAAAGCTGAAGATAATAAAGAAAAATTAGTGTCAGTGTAACAAGAAAAACCAGAGAAAATTGTAAGGGCAGGAACTGTACAGATTCACATTTTTTGTGAACTAATAATGAATAAACAGGATCCTGACAAGTTCGGGTTGGTGAGTGTTATGGTTGAAACATTGTGTCAACTTGGGGAGTCTAGAGGTTTGGCTAAGTGACTCAGCAGGAAGCCAGGGTGCTTACTTTGTATACATCCTGAGCCTGTGGAAG